ATGTCATAATTGTTACATCATWTTAAAGATGTGGTAGTAGAGATGTKGACAAATTTTACATTAAGATATAGGAATGTTACATATTTAATGAATATATTGTACATGGAATCTGGTGTCTAAAGGCTCARTTTTCTGTGAACATATTTTCTCATTAGGTTATAGTGTGGTGAAAAAATCTGTCCCAGAGCCTATGGGTGAATGCTGGGGTGATGGAGAGGTCAAACAGAAGCAGGCAGTATTTAAGACAGAGTCCAGAGCAGCAATAGAAATGAAAAGTGAGGAAGTCATTTTGCAGAATCCACCACCTAATTTGTAATGGTGCTGTAGGGGTGTGCAGTATCTCAAATATCCTAAATACATCACATCTTCTTCTGCAAGCAAATTCTGAGAAAGTTAGAAAAACATAAATGTAAACAAAACGCAACAGTCTTTACATTTTCTAAAGTCCTATTCTATTAATGATGAAACAATATTATTTTAAATGTTTAAATTAGGAAATTGGACTGTTGTTAGGAAAAAATGAAGGTAATTTAGTATTTTATGGTAGCACCAAAAAGCTGTAAAATAGGTCACAGTACGGGGAAAAAACAGACAGAATTTTATCAAATTTACAACAAATTTGGTTAATTGGCCAGTAAGAAAACTGGGTTTCAGAGAGGCTGAATCTCTCATACGTAAAGATAGGCAGAGGTTTGCTAGTCTAAGAAAACTTCTAARAATAGTGAAACAATCTCAGAATAAAGTTTGAAGACAAAATTCCATCATCTACAGTTCATAATGTCATCATAACAATGACAGTTTATGAACCTGGAGAAATCTCTGTGTTCAAAGTCTGAAAGTCAATTCTGAATGCCTGGTTTTATCTCGCTGGGGAGAGCAATGTCTGGGTTTCTCTCCTGGACCTGTTGCCTCTGCAACACGTCTATGGATAATCTACAGGAGATGGAGATTTTCTACAGGATTTTCACAGTCTTTGTATTAAAGTTGAAGCAAATGTTTATCAAATAAGGTCTAATGTAGGGTTGGGCATAATCGTATCGTGTGCAATTAATCGTCAGAAAAACATTAATCGATTATTTTTTGGCACTTGACAATTAATACGATTAATGCCACCAGGCCGATTGACTGGATATTTCCCCTGTCGGTCTGCTCAGTGCTCCTCTCCGCTTCAAATACGACAAACATAAAAAAAAATTTCTGTAATGTCTTTATCTATC